ACTACGCCAGCAGTAACTTGGATTATTCCCTATACAAGCATCAAAGAATGTCCCTTTAGGATAGTACCTGGCTTTATATATTCTGGAAACCAATGATTCAGGTTTGGTAAGTAAACGTCAGGCCTGCTTCCCCAGCATAGCTAAATTAAAGGCATGCAACTCCTTAAAGCCCAATCCCCCATATTTCTTAGGGATGCACAATTTATCCCATGCCTTCCAATGGATGCCCTGATCATCCTTAGATCTCCACCAGTAACGATTCATAGCTCTCTCAATGGCTGTGCAAGTATTCATAGGTAGTAAAAAGACACTCATAGAAAAAGTGGGCATAGACTGTGCCACACTTTTCAATAAGACCTCCTTACCTGGCTGTGAAAGCAATTTCTTATTCCAGGACCCAATCCGCTGTCTAATCTTATCATCAATATATGAGAAAACTGCTCTCCTATTCCTGCCCACAAATGATAGAAGTCCTAAATACTTCCCAAAATTCGGAGCCTGAACCACTCCCAAAATACTGGCAATCTCCTCTCTGTGTTAATCCCGCGTATTCTTACTATAGCAAATACTTGACTTATAGTAATTCACTGCTTGCCCAGACATTTCCTCATACACCGATAAACACTGTTTTACCACACTGGCTTCCTGCGCAGTTGCTCTAAAAAAGAGTAAGCTGTCATCTGCAAAAAATAAGTGGGATATAGGGGGGGGCTCCCCTAGCTACTCTGCACCCATGTAGATCTCCTCTCAACTGTGCCTGCTGTAGTAGCAATGAAAGTCCCTCATCACAAATAATAAAGAGATAAGGTGACAGTGGATCACCCTGCCTCAATCCACGAGTCGGCATGATCTGGTCACTTCGTGTTCCACCAACCTGAATACTATATGAAACTGAGGTCACACACAGCATTATCAAATCCACCCACATTTCATCAAAGCCCAATGCTAACATCATACTCCGCAAGAAGGGCCACTCCATTCGGTCATAGGCTTTTGCCATATCCAGTTTCAAAGCCCCCCATCCTGTGATTCCACATTGTTTTCTGTTCAAAAAATGTCCAACCTCAGCAGCAATCAAAATATTATCTGTTATTAGCCTGTCAGAAATAAAAGCACTTTGGGTGTCAGATATAATATCCCCCATAAGCGGTTTCATCCTGGCAGTTATAACCTTAGCCATAATCCTGTATACCACGTTACTCAGAGCTATCGGCCTATAATCCGAGACCATCTTAGGGTTTTCTTCTTAGGGATTAATATTATATTTGTATCATTTAGGCGAGCTGGAAACGAGCGAGTATTAAGACAATTCACAATATAGGCCGATACATCACCACCCACTACATCCCAAAAATGCTGGTAGAAACCGGATTCATTCCATCCGGTCTTGGTGCTTTGTCAGGAAACATTGAAAATAGAGCACTCTTTACCTCACCAGCATCAAAGGGCCGCAAGAGCAACTCATTCTGTACTTGTGTTACCCGAGAGGCTATATTTCCAAAGAATTCCCCACTATCACTTGGAGAGTCGGAGGTAAAGATAGTCTTATAATAGTTGTAGATAACATTCCTCATGGCTTCACCTTCCACCCAATCCCCACTATCATTCATAATTTTTAAAATAGTATTCTTTTTCTTGCGATGAGATGCATACCTGTGGTAGTATTTCGTATTAGCATCCGCGTTCTTAAGCCAATGCTGCTTGGCTCTCTACCTCCAGTATGTATCCTCCTGGGCCTCAATACGACATAGGCACTCCTCTAAACGTTGGAACTCAGCTAATGAGACCGGATCATTACACCCCCTCAGACGCAATTGTTCCTTCCGCAGGTTTCTGATCCGTTCACCAAACTTATGAAAACGCTCTCCTCCCCAACGCGACAAACGATTTCCACAAATAGAGATACATTCCTGCAACCCCCTTCCTGCGCCCTCATTCCATGCCTTCTCCACCACATCCCTACATCCTTCATCGTGCAGCCATGCCATCTCAAAACGAAACCCTCTTCTCAGACCACCCGTCCTTTCCCGAAGATTCAGAATCCCAAGGAAAAGAGCAGAATGATCGGACTTTCGGGTTAATATATTTTTCACACTAGCATCCGGCACGTTCTCACGCCAACTCTGGCTAGTCAAAACCTTGTCTAATCTTTCCTCTATCCAATTCGGTGTGCCTTTTCCTTTTTCCCAGGTAAACGGATATCCCATCATTGGCATCTGCGCTAATCCACACTCCTCTATAGTCTCACCGAACCCATGCAATAAACTCAGAGGATGAGGGTTTCCACCCCGCTTCTCAGATTGATAAAGTAAATCATTAAAGTCTACAATCATCACCCACGGTAGATTCAATCTGCCAGCTAAGGTACGAATAAGATCCCACGAGTCTCTCCTTTGACCCCTCTGTGAAAAGCCATAAAAGCCAGTCATTCTCCACTTTTCAAACCCCGGCATAGTCACCTCAACATCCACATAGTTTGTGGAATAACTAATCAATCTCGCTGTATTATTCGCTCTCCACAACAGAGCTAATCCATCACTCAAACCAGAACTGTCAATACAAAAAAGATAGATTGAATAGTTACTTTATGAGAAAATTGTAATACTAATAAAAGATAGATTAATTGATTGTTACTTACCTATGAGAAAAAATGTGATGTATGTTTTGATGAAAAATGTAAACTTCTAAATCAAAAGATAATATTAGAGGTTGAAGAGTTACTTATAAGAAAAAAATGTAATACTTATGAGGAAATGTGTAATATTTATGAGAAAACAATGTAATATTTATGAAAAATTTGACCCATTTCAATGATGAAAATCTCTGAGACGGGCTCATAAGTGATTTTGCAATATATATATATATATATATATATATATATATATATATATATATATATATATATATATATATATATATATATATATATATATATATATATATAGAATAATGCTCATATGTGGTCATGTTGTTAGGTGTGGTCGTGTCGCGGAATTTCAGAATACACTAACAGTGTTAACAACATGCACCAACAGTGTAAGGGAAACTCACCACAACGAAATGCAAAAAAAATACCAAAAAATACACAACAGACCCAAAAAATACACCATATAACTCACCAACCCCAATGGTGTATTCGCGAACACTGTATGGTGTTTTTACTCACACCTAATGGTGTGTTGTTGGTGATGCGTACCTAATTTGTGTGCATTTTTTGTGGTGCATTTCCTAGGTGAGGAGTGTTGATTATTGTTATCCTTCGGACGAAACAATTAAACGGCTGAGATTGCACAAAAGTTGAGATTTAAATTCCACTAAAATAGGTAGTAACGGTAGAAGTAATAAAGGTAGGGGCTAAAAGGCTAAATGGTAATCTGATTGTGGCATTGTTGTGTAATGTAATTGCGAAAAACCCAATTAAATTCCTTAGGGTTAATAGCATTTTTGTAGGTGAGATTTTGGCCTTCCATAGTCAATTCAGCTAAACCTTTGCAAAATCTAACAAGAACCTGTAGAGTAGGCGACTACTTCACCATCAGAAACTATGGCCGATGCAACACCTCGGCGAAGTCAACGGCGTGCATCCTTCGATTGTGTGGTTGTTTAATCTTTCGTCTCTACTGTCCGGTAATATGCGATTGTAGGAACTGCAATTTGTCTGTAATTTGTTGCTTGTTTTTTTGTAAATAAAATTCGCCGCTACTAGGAGGTACGGTGTGTATGTGAGGCCGTGGGAGGGGCGGTGTGTCTGGGAGACCGGGGGAGTGGAGGTGTGTTCCGGAGGGAAGAGACGGAGTTGGGGATTATAATGCAACTTAATAATATCGTATACACGGGTAGGCACTACACAGTTCTGCAGAGAATATTAGTTGTTGGTTGTCTGTGCACTAGAAGTCAAAGGTGGAAAGCTGAGGGTGTTCTAAAGAATGTACAGTAGGAGGGGATGGTGTTAAGTTTAGGAAAAAGTAGCAGAAGTTACGTCAATGGAGGGATGCACAAATGGGGGAAAATTATACTGTTGGGACCACAAACTAGTAGTTGGAGACAGAAATTTGTGTTGGTTTCAAAAAGGTTGAGAGGTGGGATGCTGTGAATCAGCGTAAATGTTATAAAAGAAAAATTTATAGTTTGTTTGTGATGGATTTGTTGAGTTATTAATTAATTGAATAGAAATAGAGGGGGGGACCACTAACAGAAGAAAAAACATTTAATATTGGGTGAGAATTGGTCTGAGTGGTTAGTTGCCTAGGGAAGTAGTGAGGTGAATTTGTGTTTTTGTGAAATGTGCGTTCATATTAGTCTTGTGTGGTAGGATTAGAGTGCATGATAATATTTTGTATTGTGACACCCCTTTTCTAAAATCTAAAACCCGATATAAACAATCTTAAACAGGATAAATCCAAGGTAGATTAAGTAAACTAAGATAATAATCTATAGCAATAAACTAAAGGGGATAGTCACCGCCACAGTCACCCACTCACGGTAACTGCACAGGCTAACAAAAACTACAAAACTAGAGTCAAATCTCAACAAAATCATAAAACAAGGGAACAACCCCTGGTGTCTAAGCACCATCAAAACAAGTGTTCCAACTACAACCCACGACAAAACTACTACAGGAGAAGGGTACTGAGCTAATGACTACCAAAGCTAGTACTACGCACTACTCGATCACGTGCGCTCTCAAGTACTGGGTCCACCTGAAAGGGGTTATAAAATCACATAGGAGAAAATAAACGCGTTAGCAAATAATGCTAAGTATAAAACCACTCAACCCTGTAAAATACTATAGAAATAGGTTGGAAAACGTTTTGCAATCATACACATTCTCGAGTATGAAGGTAAGCAATTAAGACACTTAGTCAAAGATCTCAACATATATACTTATATACTTCTAATATGCTCGCAACCTATATTTTCATGTAATCAGGCTTTCAATCCTAACTCATACTTATGCACATCCACATGCTATAAACAAATATAAACTATCTATAATCTACTATGCACTTCTCATAGTCATGCTGATAGATAATGAAATAACTGAAGCTTATCAGGTTAAGTCATGCTTTCATGCTAACACTTAAACAACGATTAAAACTGTACTTCTCAAATACTCAAAATGGGACATATGCTATGTCACGATGTGAACAAGGAAAAGATGCTATAAATATATACTTATACTCTCGCTCTTTATTTAAAAAGCAGTACTTTTCTGTGGAGGATCTCTGTTGAGTCACTTGACTCACTTTTCTCTTCTTTCTTTCTTTCTTTCTTTCTAAAACTCGTGGGGGAGGTAGGAACTTCACGAATCGTGAATGGACCTATCCGGGCTCGGCAATCTAGCCAGCCTAATACTCATCTCGCCCACAGAACCGGTACTCGTGGTTCTTATAACTCTGTGGAATCAGGTAACGTACTTTCAATGTGCACACCCCCTAACTAGGATTCCAAGCCTAGCGAGTAGTATCGAACCTAGTAACTCGGAATATCGACCAAGTTACTTCTAAAAATAAACTGTCGTTCCTCTGTGACCGTTTCTTTCTCATCTCATAACTTCTTTCTTTCTCTTTTCTTCCGAAAGGATATAGTCCTAACGGGAACCTCCAAAACATAGATTTTCCTCACTTTATATAATAGCATATATATCACATGCAACTTCTTTTCTCATGCTAGTAATCTAGACATCATGCAAGCTTCTCAATGCAAATAGATAGAGATTTTCCAAAATAGATCGATATAAGGTTTTGAAATGTAACCTAGGCTTTACTTTGAGCCTTTACTGTACTTAAGCTTTGAATATGACAAAATGATCTTTTACTGTAAAACTTGGAAATGCACTGCCTTATTAATGTAATTTCAATAAACTCAACAAATCTTCTATTCAAGGGCTAAACAAAGCAAATAACACAATTTTCATATAATTAGGTGTTAGGATTTCCCTTCACAACCTTGAATTCAAAGCCAAATAACAACACAGAGGTCAATTTTCATTCTTGTCTGCTAAACATGCTTCTTCTCAAAATCAAACGAATACAACTCATACTAGCGCATCGTTACGAGCCCGAGTGTTCAGGCCTCACGGGCCCACGAATCTCGGTCCGAAACAACACATATCTAAGCCTTAAAGAGCCCGGCCTTCTACTGATTTGGCCTGGCGGAGCTTGGTGACGGGGCTTGAGAAGCCCTGTCACTTGGCTCCGCCAAGCAACGGCCTAGAGTGAAGGATCTCAGAGAGATCCGTCACTCTGGTCCGTTGGACCATGATCCTAGCCAGCGGATCTCTCCTAGATCTGTTGACTAGGGCCGCAAGGCATACTTAGTGCACCAGACAGTGTGCACCAGTGGTCTTCTTCTCCAAAAACTCATCTCAGAGCTCCAACGGACACTTCCAGACAACCATGAATCAAATACATAACATCATCAACACACAATAAACTCATCAACAAGTATTCTCTAACATTTCTAAGCATCTAATCTCAAGAATCTAACACTTAACATACTAAAATAGTAGTTTTGGGAATCCATGATTTATACCTTGAGCTTAGCCTTCTCTAGTGTGGATCCCTCATCTTCTTCTTCAAAGATTCCCAACTTCACCACCTATTTTTCCTCAGACAAACATAAACACATACTATACTCATCACAACCTCAAAGATGGAAAAGCAGAGATGGACAAATGAATGTTTGGGAAGATGAAATGAAATGGAGGAGGTGAATGGAAGGAGATACTTACTGTTTTTTTCCCTTTCTCTATCAGACTCTTGTTTTCTAAGGTTAAAGGAGGCAAAATGGAGGGATCAAGAGAAATCATATGGAATAGTGTTATATATATATGGGCTCAAAACCCTAGGTGTCACTACAAAAAAACACTGAAATAGCGACGGATCTAGCGACGGACGCATTCCGTAGCTAATTCAACGACGGAATAGCGACTATTTAGTGACGGAATTTAGTTTTCTTGTTAAATAGGATTTTTGCGACGGATTAGCGACGGATTAGCGACGGATTAGTGACGGATATTACGACGGATGAGTGTTGTCGTTAAATTTGTAGCTATTTTTAGCGGGAATTTTTGGCGCAAAACTTAGTGACGGATTAGTGACGGATTAGTGACGGATTGGCGACGAATTTTTCGCGGGTTAATTTTGAAATTGTTCTAGCTACATACTAGCGACCTACTTAAACATCTGTCGCTATTTTCTAAGTTTCATGTATTCGAGATTCAAGTCTAGCGACGGATACTCATATCCGTCGCTAGAATTAGTACGGCTTTAGAGTACATAGCGACGGAAATATTGATCCGTAGCTATGTAACGACGGACGGTGAAATCCGTCGCTAAGATGACCAAACGGCTTTGTTCGTATGCGTTGAATAGCTACGGATATAGCGGTCCGTCGCTAAGTTGTCCACAAGGTGTTTTCATATGAGTTCAATAGCGACAGACTATTAAATCCGTTGTTAATTTTAGTAAATTTTTTTTTATTAAATGTTTCATAGCGACGGAATCGATATCCGTCGCTAGGAACAAGAATGATAATTTAATTAATGTCGCAGCTCTTACTTTTAATAAAAAATAACGAGAGAATGTTAATCCGTAGCTAGAGTTCATAAACCACAACTAATTAATTACTCATTCTTCTTCTAAGTCCTAAGGGTTTGGAATAGCGCAGCCCTAAGCCCTTATTCTTCTCTCTCGCATATCGCAGCCCTCCGACCAGCAACAGCCCACAGCCGGCGTCTCTGCTCTCCGGCGTCTCTGCTCTCTGGCGTCTCTGCTCTCCGACGAAGGCTCCACCGCATCTCTACTCTCCGACGAAAGCTCCACGGCGAATCGGCGAAAGCTCTCCAACTGCGAAGGTAATTTCCTCATCTACTCTCCGAACACATTGTTTGATTAATTCTAGAGTCAAATAGATACATATATAAATAGATACATAAATAGATACATAAATAATTTTCTGCCCTTCTTTACAGAAATAGATACAGAAATAGATACATAAATTCAATTACATGGATGCAATTGAATTATAAGATTTCATAAACAAATAATATTTTGCTTAAAATAATGAATGATTAGCCTTGTTTGGTAAATACGCAGTAGGAAGTAAAATAATGTTAATTGAATTAACAAATACGCAGGATATTAATTTTGATTTGGAAAATGATAAATGTATTTCTATGGAGTAGAAACACAGTAGGAAGTAAAAAATTAGAATTAGAATTTGTTTAAAGACACAAAATTTTATACTCATGGATTGATTTGTGTGTTACATACCATTCTCTTTTCCCCAAGAAAATAAGAAAAGAGAGGGAGAGTTGCAAATTTTTAGGAGGAAACTATATTGCTGCTGCTATCTTGCATCTTTTTTAGTACTTAAGGTAGAACAAGGAGTTGCCTGGAGGGTAAAAACCAAGGCCAAAAAGTTTTAATCTCTAACATAGTAATCTAATCAACTGATTTGAATTAATAGCAGTGAACTAAAAAATTTTTCTTTTGTTGTTTATTTGCCGGCTAAACCGCCCGTGGGTACCGGCACTTATGTTTTCTCCGGCTAAACCGCCTGTGGGTACCGGAGGCTTATGAAAATATGCATGACTGTTTATTTCAATCTCTTTATTTGCCGGCTAAACCGCCTGTGGGTACCGGCACATGTGTTTTCTCCGGCTAAACCGCCTGTGGGTACCGGAGGTTTATGAAAATATGCATGATTGTTTATTTCAATCTCTTTATTTGCCGGCTAAACCGCCTGTGGGTACCGGCATTAGTGTTTTATTCGGCTAAAATATGCAAGTTTGCAAGTGTAGTTTTTTTTTTTTTTAATTGAAATGTAGCATTGAAAAATATAGGTGATAAATACAATGAGTTCAAATCGTCATTGGATGTATACACGAATTAGAAATGGTCTTCTCACAGAGGAGTTTTTGGTTGGTCTTGAAACTTTCATCCAATTTGCTACTAGTCAACGTAGTTGGATGGACGGGGAAAAAATTAAGTGTCTATGTAATCAACGCAAGTGTCAAAACACCAAATATTTAGATGTGCCTACCGTGAAATTTCACTTAGCAAAATATGGATTTGTGTCGGATTACTATGTTTGGCGCTTCCAGGGCGAGTGTAATGTGAGCGTAGATGTTGATCCAGATGTTGGTGGCCCATCTCAAATGGATAGTGAAGAAGCATCTAATGCTTTCCATACAATGGTTATGGATGCTGCTGGTCCTGAATTTAATGTGGATGAAATAGAAGAAACGCCAAATCCCGAGGCCCAAAAATTTTATGACATGCTGAAAGCTGCAGATCAAGAGTTGTGGCCTGGGAGTAAAAAACACTCGCAGTTGTCTCTTGTAGCTCGACTTATGAGCTTGAAATCAGAGAATCACATATCAGAAAAATGTTTCAATCAATTCACTGAACTTTTGAAAGAAGTTATTCCGGAAGATAATCTAGTTCCTGACAATTTCTACGAAACCAAAAGGCTATTACGGGGTATGGGATTGCCAGTTCAGAAGATTGATTGTTGCAAGAACAATTGCATGATATATTGGGAGTCAGATATAGATATGACAACCTGTAAGTTTTGTGCCCACCCACGATTTAAACAAACTGCTCGTGGTGCAACAAAACGACAGAAAACTAATGTAGCATACAAAAAAATGTATTACTTTCCTCTTGTTCCTCGAATGCAGAGGTTGTATGCATCTAATGCTACAGCAAATGATATGAAGTGGCATGCAAATTCAGTTGAAGATGGAATCATGCGTCATCCCTCAGACTCGCTTGCTTGGAAGCATTTTAACCGCATTTATCCTGACTTTGCATCTGAACTTCGAAATGTTAGGTTAGGTCTATGCACCGATGGTTTTCAACCATTTGGACAGTCAGGACAACAATACTCCTCATGGCCTGTGATACTAACAACGTACAACTTGCCTCCTTGGATGTGTATGAAGGAGGAGTATATGTTCTTGACCGTATTGGTTCCAGGTCCAAAAAATCCGAAAGAGAAGATAGATGTTTTTTTACAACCACTTATTGCGGAGTTAAACCAATTATGGGAAATCGGTGTTCAAACATATGATATTTCAAAGAAGCAGAATTTTCAGCTGCGAGCTGCCCTTATGTGGACAGTCAGTGATTTTCCTGCATATTCTATGTTATCCGGGTGGAGCACTGCTGGGAGGTTAGCATGTCCATATTGCATGGACAAATCGGATGCCTTTACCCTAAAACAAAGTGGTAAGCAATCGTGGTTTGACAATCATCGAAAATTTTTGCCACCGAATCATCCATTTCGCAGGAATAAGACAGCGTTCTTTAATAACAGAGCGGTTACAACTGAGGCACCGCTTGTTCGGTCAGGAAATGATATCCTTGCAGAGATTGAAACTTTAGGCCTTAAAAAGGTCACTGAATTGGATGCAGGTGACGCTAATGGATTAATTTCCAAAACTTGCAGTTGGAAGAAGCGAAGTATTTTTTGGGATTTGTCATATTGGAGTTCACACTTGGTACGACATAATTTGGATGTCATGCATATAGAAAAAAATGTGTTTGATAACGTGTTCAACACAGTAATGGATGTTACTGGAAAAACAAAGGACACATATAAATCTAGAGAAGAGCTGAATGATTATTGTCGGCGGCCTGAGCTGAAGAGAGACGGTGTGACTGGAAAGTTCCCAAAAGCTTGTTACATACTTGACAAACCCGCAAGGGAAGCATTGTGTCAATGGGTTAGGAATCTCAAATTTCCTGATGGCTATGCATCTAATATGAGTTGATGTGTAGATATGAAGAAGTTGAAGTTGTTTGGAATGAAAAGTCACGACTGTCATGTGTTTATGCAGAGGTTAATACCAATTGCATTTCGTGAGTTGCTCCCGCTAAATGTTTGGAAAGTTCTTACAGAGTTGAGTTTATTCTTTAAGAACCTTACTTCCACTACAATTGCAGTTGAGGAAATGACGAAGCTTGAGAATGACATACCTCTCATTCTATGTAAACTTGAACGTATATTTCCTCCTAGTTTCTTCGACTCTATGGAGCATCTACCAATCCACTTAGCTTATGAAGCAAAGATTGCTGGTCCAGTTCAATATAGGTGGATGTATCCATTTGAGAGGTATAATTTTTATTAGTTGTGTTATCTGTTTTGAAACATATAATAACACTGTCACTTATATACGTTATAATTGTGTTTAGATATCTTCGAAAATTGAAAAATAATGTCAAAAATAAAGCGAAGGTCAAGGGTTCTATATCCAATGCATATTTGGTGGAAGAAGCATCATCGTTCTGTTCATACTATTTTGAGGATCATGTTAGCACGAAGCACAGAAATGTGCCTCGAAATGCGGATAGTAGTGAATATAGAGTTGATGAACATGAAGAAACTCTTTCTATATTCAAGTATCCGGGTCGAGCATTTGGCAAAGCAAAAACGAGATATATGACAGATGAAGAGTATAAAGCTGCTCAAACCTATGTGTTATTAAATTGTTCAGAAGTGGAGTCATTTATTGAGTAAGAATTCACTTCTGTTCAATTTTCTTATGCAATGTGTTATAAATGTTAACCCACTTATTGTTTTTATTTTAAAGGGTTTATATTGAGGAGTTAAAGAGGAGTCAACCAAACATTTCCAGTACTACCATTGATGGTAAATTGGAAAATGAATTTGCAAATTGGTTCAATGACTATGTAAGACTTGTATGTATATTATATATATTAAACTTCAAATTGTTTAATAAACTTTAACACTTATATTATGTATTATACAGGCACATGATCCTTCAAATAACATTTCAAACAAATTTATAAAGGATCTTGCAAAAGGGCCACTAAGATGTGTTAATACATATTCAGGGTATTATGTGAATGGCTTTAAATTTCACACCATTAGTTATGGTGGAGCTAAAGAAACAATGAATAGTGGAGTTTGCATAAAAGGAATAAACTATAGTATAGATGAAAGTGATTATTATGGCCGGTTGGTAGAAGTTGTACAAGTAGAGTACCCAGGCTTACCAGTCAAGAGGACAATATTATTCAAGTGTGAGTGGTTTGACCCGACAAGTGTGGGCATGAAGGTTCATTCTCAGTATAAACTTGTGGAAGTTAATCATAAGCGTAGATTTAATCGCTATGAACCATTCGTTCTAGCAATGCAAGCCGCTCAGGTTTATTATTGTACATACCCAAGTTTGCGGCGCGACAAGCTTGATTGGTGGGCTGTTTGCAAAATTAAAGCGAGATCTGAAATAGTAGTTCCTGAATCGTCTATATCTACGGAAGAATCACAAATACCTCCACCATTTCAAGAGAAAACTACAGACAATCATGATCTCATGCAAATAGATGAAGACCCATTGCATTTAAATGACTCAAATGGTGGGGTAATAGAATTTGATGAGGAACATGGTGACATCGAAGATGAACTTGAGTTAGAGGAAGAAATAGCTGACTCAAGTGGAGGTTCAGAAATAGGAGATAGTGATA